ATCAGGCATCAGCCAATGAAATGAATAGGCTGAACCCAAACAAAAGGGTGTTTTTTCCAACCAGTGGAACTCCTCGCTGCAGGAGATGGATGGCAGGACACAAATCGCTTGATCGTTGTCTTCGCTCCACCCCCTCTGGGGATCAGGCATCAGCCAATGAAATGAATAGGCTGAACCCAAACAAAAGGGTGTTTTTTCCAACCAGTGGAACTCCTCGCTGCAGGAGATGGATGGCAGGACACAAATCGCTTGATCGTTGTCTTCGCTCCACCCCCTCTGGGGCACCTGGTGTTGGCCGCTGTCGGCAGACGGGATACAGAGCTAGATGGACCTTTGGTCTGACCCAATATGGCCGCTCTTATGTTCTAAGAGGCACGTGTCGGCTTCCCTTTGGGAGGGGAATCCGGGGAGGAGGTACAGGGGACTCTCTCCCCCCATTGGCACCCCGTTCCCTCTCCCTAGCCCCCTACCCCCCCAGCCACAGAATTAAAAACCTCAGTCTATAGCTGCCCTTGGAGTCGGTGGGCGGGGGCGCCGATTGCACCGTTCGCCTAGGACGCCAGTTGCTGGCAGCTAGTCTAAGGCCGGCCCCGAAAGTACGTAACTTTTCCTCCTTCGCTTTCTCCATAGCTGCCGTGATTTCGTCGATTTCTATCCTCTCCCCACTTAGGGTACGTCTAGACTACAGGGTTTGGTCGACAGAAGTTTTGTCGACAGATAGGGTACGTCTAGACTACAGGGTTTTGTCGACAGAAGTTTTGTCGACAGATAGGGTACGTCTAGACTACAGGGTTTAGTACGTAACTTTTCCTCCTTCGCTTTCTCCATAGCTGCCGTGATTTCGTCGATTTCTATCCTCTCCCCACTTAGGGTACGTCTAGACTACAGGGTTTGGTCGACAGAAGTTTTGTCGACAGATAGGGTACGTCTAGACTACAGGGTTTTGTCGACAGAAGTTTTGTCGACAGATAGGGTACGTCTAGACTACAGGGTTTGGTCGACAGACGTTTTGTCGACAGATAGGGTACGTCTAGACTACAGGGTTTGGTCGACAGTTTTGTCGACAGATAGGGTGCGTCTAGACTACAGGATTTTGTCGACAGTTTTGTCGACAAAGCTGCTGTCGACAAAGAGCGTCTAGACGACATCCAGTTCTGTCGCCAAAGCAAGCCGCTTTGACACCATAACAGTGTAGACGCAAAGGTCGGCGTAGATGCAATTATGCCTTCTGGCGACAGAACTCTGTCCACAAAAGGCGTTATTCATCGTCGAATGAGGTTTATGTACGTCGACAAAACTGCCGAGTTCTGTCGACGTTATGTCGACATAACTCAGCGGCAGTGTGGACACAGGTATAGTTTTGTCGACAAAACCCTGTAGTCTAGACACACCCTAAGTCTCCTCTTTTCTAAGCTGAAAAGTTCCCGTCTTTTTCATCCCTCTTCGTACGGGACCCGTTCCAAACCCCCAATCGTTTCGATTGCCCTTTTTGGAAATTTTTCTAGTGCCGAGAGATCTGTTTGGAGATGAGGCGGCCGCAGCGGTCCGCCGTATTCACTTAATCCCCGCTCGAAAAAGCAACAGCGGCAAGGGAGGTTGAGGCTGGACGTTCGGAGAAAGTTCTGAACTCTCAGGGGGGTGAAACACGGGAATAAATTGCCCAGGGAGGTCGTGGAATCTCCGTCTTTGGAGATATTTAAGAGTCGGTTAGATAAATCTTTGGAGATATTTAAGAGTCGGTTAGATAAATCTTTGGAGATATTTAAGAGTCGGTTAGATAAATCTTTGGAGATATTTAAGAGTCGGTTAGATAAATCTTTGGAGATATTTAAGAGTCGGTTAGATAAATCTTTGGAGATATTTAAGAGTCGGTTAGATAAATCTTTGGAGATATTTAAGAGTCGGTTAGATAAATCTTTGGAGATATTTAAGAGTCGGTTAGATAAATGTCCATCAAGGA